CTAGCCACGTCCATTTAGAAATATTATATCTAAGTGAAAAAAAAAATACAAAATAAATGTGAAACATAAAACTGTCGCTATGTGCCATCTGAATGGAAAACTAAAGCAGACACTATGTCCATGCATCATTCACTCATTCATGCACTGATTTATTCGTTTGTTTTTATGCTCAAGAACACCAGGTTTCTTGAGTAATGATGCACAGTCAATAACAACAAAAGTGCGAATACAGAAAAACAAGAACAACAACAAAAAGCGATTCCCTCATAAAAAACTGAACATTCCCCCTCCCCCCTCCTCAAGACAAAAAAAAATAATAATTTACGCAAAAAATACTTCAAATTCACGTTATGTAACTCATTGAGAAAATTGCCTATAATATATAATTACGTTATTTCATTTGGCAATATGGGATACGGTTTGTATGCGTGCGTATGCTTTCTTTGCTAGATATAGTAATAATGTTATATTATTAGCTTTATTTGCCATATACTTTTATTTTAGTATTTAATAGTTTTGTTTTTACGGTATTCCTATTCAGTATTTTAGTGCACCACAGTGGAGACTGAAAAGTTGTTATTGGGCACAGAAAATAACGAATTAATATTATTAGTTGTTTTATTATACCTATAAAAATTCACGGGAACATGGTCTGCCTCTCTTTCTGGTGCCCTCTTTCCTACACTAGGTCCTCCCAAGTGACTAAAATTCAATTAAAGTTTGGGTAAATGCACCCGCGATGTACCACGACGTAAGAGTTCGTTTAATTCGAACCATAACATGCCATGCTTTTGTTTTTATCGCTTAAAGAGGAGCAGTGGTATGAATTCCACGCCAATTGCAGCTCCTTTGTTAATTTGTTTCGGGACTGTATAAATCTTGCCTAGTCAACGGGCGCCCGAGTATTCAGAAAGCATCTCTGTAGTTTGTGTCTTGTTTTAACTTTTTTACGCAAATAAAGCGTGTTTTACGGGTTACGTATTTTTCGCCTGCAGGATAACGAATGGAAGCTTAGCGCAAGCTAGCGCTGTATTTAGCGCTTGCGCTACCGCACGCTCAAGCGAGTTTTAGAATATCGTTTTTTCGCCCCGACACAAAAAACCCAAGAAACTCGCCCCACCAATACCCTGTATCATTCTTTATATTTGGGTCCAGAATAACGTTTTTTTATTTGTTTAAGTATAAAGCGCGAAATACATGTGCGTCAAAACTGTTCGATCCGAGGTATGAACTTCCCAAAATGACGTTCGGAGTCGAGGGTTTTCGACGCTCTTCGGTGCTACAAAAACCCTCGCCCCGAACGTCGTTCCGGCAGCTCACAAGTTGGATAAGAAAGTTTTGACGCGCATGTGCTTCGCGCTTTAGACTGCGAAGCGAGCGGTTGACCGGTCGTGTTCGCTTGCTTCGTTTCTACAAGAGGTCTCATCAATTAACGTTCGCACACCTCACCTTCGCCGAGAAACATTCGCGCGTCGCAAAGAGCAAGGTGCCGGCGACGCCGGAGATCGTTGCCCACCTTGCCGGATCACTCAAACCGTTTGTAACGTGCACCTATTGCAGGAGTATAATTTCCTGCAACATTCCAAATCGCAGTAGAGAAGATGCCGCCGGCTTCGCGATGACGACGACCGCCAAAGCTTCCAATGCGGCCGCAGCCGCAGTATTGGGAGCCATTATATTCTAACGGTACTCGATTTGGCTTGAGCCAACATTTCGCGCATCATAATTTCTTTTTGGAGGAACTCAAATACCCTTTGCGTATGCACGCAATTTCCTAAGAATACTGTATGATAAAATAGCGTACGCAGAGGGTTAGCGTTTGGCGCATACGAGTGGCAGCGATGCTATACTTTGCGTACGCAAAACCGTTTAAGTATATTAATGTAAAACTCCACTGCGTGTACGCGCTTTCACAAGTGAGTGTGCAGAATATAATGTATTTAAGGTATTAATAATTGTATTTTAAACAACATTCGTGTCACTGGATGCAGCTATGTGGTTCTATGCCGATAATACTTTATGTAGACTCAATTTGCCAAAATAGAAATAAAATGTTCAGTCTTGAAAGGTTAGTGGTAAACTTTCGTACTCTTTTTGATCGCAGCAAAGCGAATGCAAGAATGCAGCATAGTTGTTCACTGAAAGCTACTTTGCTCTTGCCGGATTGCTCCCGACTGAGATGAAAGATGGAAAAAATAACGGCTTAGTCAAGGATGAATGAAAACTCCCAACAAGGATGCAAATGTAATAGCGTCGGTATTGCTGCATTTGGCTTTCTCATTCCTTCATATCTTGCGTTTTGTTTCTGCAGTCGGTTACTCGTTTTTCTGGCCTATCAATAGTAGGGAGCGTTTGTCATCATGCCGCACGTAGGTTGCGCAAGCGGGTTAGCTTCTGTTTGAACAAAAATCGTGTTTGTTTTTTTTCGTTTTTCCAAGCTTTAGTTGGTCGTTCCTTAGTTACGTACTCTATCAAAGACGCATATAATCTTGCATAACATCTGGACATTGATTGCTCCGCCTCTCTCCTCAAACTTAGACTTAAGGTACGTTTTCGTAAATTAAACTGCGTAATTTAAACAATGATCTTGTTTATTTAATTTATTGCATTTTACCGCATTAACGGCCTCTTCAGGGAGGCATTGCATAAGGAAGATGCTAAATTTAATATTTCTATGATTATAAAAAGATCACTGCAACCAAGAACAAAAACGGAATGGTCAGAAAACAATTTTTAACGTTATTTAACCAATTTAGAAATCTCGCGCGAAAACATATTAATTACTACTAGTTGAAGAACCTGAGGGCAGGCTATTCTAATTTGATATGCGCGTAATGGAAAGGTTGAGTATTTAAACATGCTCGTTTTGCAAATGTTTGGTTCCACTTTGTAGGGGTAATCGAAGCGAGAGAAAATATGGTGGGTCGGAGAAATAAAAGTTCGGGAAGACCACGGGTAATAATCCAATCTGTGCATGAACAAGAGCCGGTCTATTTTTTTTTTTTTGTAGAGTTGAGAATTTGTAGGGGGATACGGATTGTCTTAAAGAAGAAATCCTGCTCCAAGAGTAGTTACATGTAATAAAACTAGTAACTCGTTTCTATTGGTTTATCAAATAGTTTTGATAAGAGATGAATATCATTGAAGCATGCTTTAGCATAACTTGGCAATGGCGAAGGCTACGTTCCCATTGGCCTCATAGAAACTTGGGAGAGAGGCACGTAAGAAAATTTCAAAACGGCGCTGAGGAGTGGCTTACCTTAATCCTAACATTTCACCTGTTCCCTTGGCTGATTGTGTTTGTCATTTCAGTGTTCTGTTGAAAGATTGTAAACGTTGCAATACCTGTGATGAAGTAGTTGGCGAGTCATGCGTCTTATCCAGAGGCTGTTTTTTTGTCCTCATATTTTTTTTAGTTGGAGATGATATGTAAGGCAATGAGTACTGGCACCAAAGTCAATCGGCAGGCTAGGTGGTTACACATTATAAAAAAATCTGCCAAAAATTGTCTTCTTCTACTAGTCCTTGTAATTGGACGCTGTTTTATTAAATATGTTCATTTTAATACAAATGAAAACTAGAAGTTTAAATTTTGGACGCTCAATAGGCAGGAATATTAAGGTTTAGATATATGCTACTTGTACATCATTTTATTATTCACGATGGCATGGTCTCGTTTTTCGTTTCCAGATTACAGTTGTATTTCTTCTCGGCGATTAAATTCCCAAGAATTGAAGGCCACAACAAGAGGTACTAGAGTAAACATATCGCTTCAAAGCTTTTTGGACGATAATTTGCGATCGCGCTTTCCGGCGAGAAGCTTAAAGAGCCATCGTAATGATGGTGAGCTCGTCGCTAATATTTGATAGCTTTTGGTATGTTGATTACATGTTTGAACGCAACGACTTTTACATGCAACAGGTACTGCTTTTCAGTGTTTGTTTGAATCTCTTATGTTCAAGATATCACCTCACTTGAGGTGAGATGATATCCTGACAGGATATAATCTCTCATCATTTACAGTGGTTGTATCAATCAAATATATATCAGTCAGAACACCAGCATTTTACAGCTCATTTTTTTTCTCAGGCTATTACCACCTGGAACTGTTTTGCAGACGAAATAGTAGTAATTCCAGACACATCCAATTTTCGCACGTCAATCACCTTAAACCTCTCCTAACTGCAACTGTCCTATTAGGTTGTCAATGAGCGCAATTTGTATTAATATTGTATTTATTGTTGTTTTATTTTGTTTTTTGTGTTTCTAGGTTATATATTATTCTTGCCCACACGCTTTTTATATCTAATGTCCCATCGCGCATTAAAGAAGAAATAAGTGAATGAAAATAACCCAAGCACGCGGTTCTGTGGCAGTCACCGTCAACCTTACTTACTGAGTTGCGGACATAATGTATCAAATAGGGGAGTTTAGGTCTGAAATGGAGGGAGGCGGCAGCACATTATTGCCAATGCACCACGAAATATGAGACATTTCGTAAATCTTATCGGCAGCCTCTTCTACAGCATTTGAAAGATTAATAACCCTAATTCATTTTGTTTATTGCACCTCTCCATGACAATCATCTAGTGTCATATGAGGTTCGAGTGGGTTTGAGTGTATGTATTACGAAATTAAGCAGGCTCGTTCCAAAGGAAGGCGACTCAACGAATCGCATTCTATCGAAATCTATGTATAAAATGTTCTCGTTAAACAATTAAGGACTAATCTAAAAACTGCTGTACTGCAGCGAGTGGATCATAACTAAGAGCGTTTGTTACTGAAAAGCCTCACTACCACGTCAAAATAAACTTAAACATCTAAGGTAATCCATACTTATTCAAAAATAAAAGACCAGGTTTTGGACGGTCTGCTATTTACACCAGCAGATTCATTTTTAAGATACCTAAAACTAGAAATGTAGCGTGAAGATAATTCTATGAAATGTTGAACACAGGAACCCCTCTCAATGTCTTTGTTACTGCGGTTACTGATTGCAGCCCCACCTGCCGACCATCAAGCTCATTTCCAAGGTGTGCTACACAGTTTCCCTGGTGACGCTCCTAGCCGCCTTTCTCATCCTGGCTTCCATCAAGTAAGACCATCTAGCTTCAACGCTATTCTTCATTTGAAATAACATTACAATAGTTTTGTTGAAGTAGTATTTTTTTTAATAAGTCAAATAAATCAGATGCATCGTTTCTTGTAATTTCTATTAGCCAAGACCTTTGCATGACTTGTCACAACGTATCGCATGGAATCGGTAATATTTCAAGAAAGCGGTTTTTATAAGAAACCAATATATTGAATAATATGCATTTAATATTTGAGACCGTGCAATATTTTTCGCTGCAAAATAAACTTCACAAAACTCTGTTGTTGTTTCATATTCTGAATGTAAGAGTACAACTATGTGCTTTAGTTACAAATTATAAATAATCTGATTCATAATTATTTGTATGAGTTATTTTTGCTCTCTAATATTACCTTATCTCGTTGATATTTCCAATGCAAAATGTTCATCACATTGTCAAACATCCATGTATTTTGTTATCGCCAAGTTCATAGCATAGCTTTACTATCTCTCGCTTTACGTTTCATTAAGTGATAACATTTTCTGTTCTCATAAACCTGAATACGCTGAATCTTCAAAGATTGAGCGGTGAGCAGCGGCACGTGTAGTGCATCCGCGCAATCGAATGGATGGTCAGTGCTTCTCTAAAAACCTTTTGTTCTCGCATTTCAAAGACACGCTTCATTTTTTTTTTTTTTTGTAAGTCAAGTATTTAGGGTAGAGTATTTTCCCCATGCGTTTCAGGAGGCTCCGCTGCCCCAGGAACAGCCTACACATGCATTTGTTCATTTCCTTCATCCTGAGGGCGCTGGCGTTCCTGCTTAAGGATGCACTCTTTATCGACGGCGTCGGACTTTCGACTAACGTGGACTTCAACGAAGAGGTGAGCGACAAAATATACCGATGCTTGAACGCTTAACAACTCGCATTCTTTTTCGTAGCTCCTCACCATCTTAATAGCACACCATAAGTTAGGAACGCAATACTCGAAGACTTACAAAAGAAACCAAAACATTTCTCCGTTTGTGCCAAAGGACATGAGATGCCACAGCATTTGGGATTTTTTACACCTCTTCAGAAATCCGCCGTTTGGCGCTCTCGGTCCGCATCAGTGCGCCGATTTTTTAGCGTCAAATATTGGCAAATTTAATTTGTGCACATTTATACACAGATTCTGGTTTTATTGTGAAATGTAGCGGAAAATGCTTCGCACTCTATTTAGCAGAACATGAAATTAATGCGTACGCTAACTTAGGTACCCATTCTACATAAAGCAGATACTTTAGCGGAAAAATCAAATGTGTCTAAGTACACACAAATTCAAGATTTCCTTCTGAATTTAGATATCAAGCCTGGACGGATAGACGAATTTGATTTAAGGGTTTATGTGGCCTTACAACTGCGAACCCATTGATTATAACGAGTAAGAAACGAATTTCTCTTGAAATGTAGAACGTTAGGTGGTGTTAATGTAATATACGGTATTCGAAGTTTAAGCTGCTGTAGATACTTCATTCAACGGTTTATAAACTAACTCCTTTATATAGTTACTTTACAGATGCGCATTCTTTTTAGTACATAGAGGTATTTGTTTCATAAGTGTTGGGGTTAAGGTAATCGCTTGTCAAAATGTTGATGATTGTGTATCCCCGTTAAGACTATAACTGCTCGTGTCCTTTTCTATAAATCTCTCGATTGTGCGCTGAATGCTATATTGTTGTACACATGTTGGTGGTTATAAAGTACAGTCACGACGATGAATGAAATTACCGGAGTAAAAACCAATCTGTTTTAAACGGCAGAAAAAAGTGGCGATTCCTCCGGCGCAAAACTCAAACTAATCTCTTGTATCCACATAGAGTATTCGCGTTTCTTCTCTGGAAGTGCTTAGTTTCATACAGTAAATATTTCGCTATCCTCCGTTATAATCGATTAAATTTTCGGGCTTTTGCACGTTTAGTATTTACGTCCCACGGCTGGAACCACCCAGAAAGCTTCTTTTCTCCGAATTCCCCACGGAGGATCGATCAAAAAGCCTCCGCTTCGCCTGCGTCACCATCCTTTTACTATGCTGGTTTTTCTACCTCTTGTACAATTTATTCACTAGAACGTTCTCTCTTAGCAGTTTCTTTTCGGTTTCTGTCGCTATATTTCTATTTCGAGACCAGCCGTCGTTGCAACAAACCCAGAGATTGTGCACCTGATTTGAAAGTACTAAACATTCGATCCCTCTCTCGCTGTATCTCTTGTTGTATTTGTTTTCTTGTTCTGATCTCGTACAATCTAAAGCTGGCGCTTCTTCTAACTTTAACGCATCACTGATCAAATATTTAGATCTTTTCCAGCAGATGCATGTCCGTTGTAGGCTCTGAACTGCACCTAGCCTCTGCTTCCTGCACGCTTCTGAAGTAGGCTTCCCCACACTAGGGGTAATAGAGAGGAGAAGCACGCTTCGCAGAAGGTGGTCGTCCAAGAGCGATTGGATGGATCTGTGTCTTCACTCAATTTCGAAGTTGCTTTGAACTTTGGGGCGAAGCCTTCTCGTGTTTTCGAGGCATATGCCTCCAGCGTACGGGTATGTGCAAATTGGTTTCAAAGTAAACCTTAAGGTCCCACATTATTATGTATAAAAAATGGATTCCAGCTTTCCTATTTTTCTGTTTTAGCAATACTCTGTCCCTTTGCTCTCACAAGAGCATTGCACGACAGTGTTGCCAACTTAGCTCTTTTCCCACCATTCTTAGCCGTGTTTGATGCTCCTCTAGCGAGTTAAAATTCAATATAGCTGCTAGCCGGTCATTTCGACTTCTTTCAGTAGTTACTAGCAAGCTTTGGAGCTTTTTTAAAAAATAAAATGCTCTTGTTAAGACATTAGATGTATTCTAAGCAACTAGGTGTGGTTCCTTTAACTAAATTAGCAAGCCCAGAGCACTAAAATAATTGATTCACAAAATTGAAGTTGATATTAATAGAATGGAAGCACACACATATGTAACGATATTTTTATAAGCTTGGAAACACGGACGCATCTTGAAAACGTCCGTGCTGTTGTAATAACGTAGAAAGGACAACAAACACAAGATATGAAGAAAGGAGACTTATACATTAGCCTTTTATTAGAAAAACACAAACGCACACAAGAGCGGAACCCCAACAATATTTCAGACAGTATGTTTATTTGCGTTACTGCAAAATATAGTGTTAGTTGAGTAATCATTGCAATTTAGGGAAACGAATTGACGTGAGCTATTCGCCGAACTCGTGGACGTACTTTGACATATGTACAGAAATTGTTTTATGAAACCTTCTCCGTGGTACTGATCTTTTTTCCATGCTCAAAGCGCAAATGGCAGGGCTCGAATCCTCTGTAGCTTCTTTTCTCAAAATGATATTGAACATCTCTTATAGATTTCCATGCTTTGAGGCACTCGGCCCAATATTTGCTTATTTACATGATGAATGCAAGCTTTTTGTGTTGGTGTATTTACTTTAGAAATATAAAAAATATATTTAATTTGGTTTTCTTTTGGATTCAAGCATTTAACGCGAAAATACTTTACTCCTTTTTTCTCCTCTGTTTATCGCACGCAAGCACGGGCCGCAGGACAAGGTGCTAGCTGGATGCGCCGCCACTGTCACATTGCATCCTAAAAGGGACGAGCAGCGTGAAGAAGAGATTAGTGAACAAAAAAAGGGCATTAGTAAAGTCAAACATTTAGTTAGTGGTATTCCTACTTGTTTAGGCTGCTTAAAAACTGCGTGCGCTACCCGCTCCTCTGCGCACGTGCCCTAACTTACAGTGAAATGAAGAGAGGAAAAAAGAAGCTGCGGCATGATGATTCCTACCATGCTTACTGCCAGGCCAAGGAGACACCAGATGAGTGTGCGCCATGTTTGTCCAGTGGAATGTACTCTATAGGAGAGAGCTAATGCTATCGCATTTCAACGTAATCTGCACCAAAGCACCACTGAAACACGACCCTGTTTTTTACGTTACTTTCTGTATTCCAGCGCATTACACAAACTTGAGACGAGTGCTGCCTCAGTGTTCCTATAGTAGTCCTGTCCTCGCTGACTGAATGCGAGTCCCACCAAAACGAAACCTCTACAAGGATTATAATATTAAGCAGTTTACCTTACTTGCAGAAAGGAACGGTTCTGTATCTGTCTTGAAGAAAACCGCAAATGCATTTTTTATCATAGTGCTGGTGTTTTTCAGAACGTAGACTGCAAGGTGTTCACAAGCTTCTGGCACTACGTGCTCATGGCCAACTACTGCTGGATCCTCATGGAGGGACTATACCTGCACAGTCTCGTCTTCCTCGCATTCTTCACGGACAGTTCGGGGATTTTACGATACGTGGCACTCGGCTGGGGTAAGCTTTATTTTCAGAAACTGATATTGCGAGAGTTTTTTAGGATTTTCAATGGCGTTTCTGAGGCTGTTGCTCACATCCTCGAAAGTTTTGTTATTTTTTATAAATGTGAAGATGCGGCCGGGAGATGGTTGTGAACCTTGGAGTGTTCGGGTACTTTGAATGGCTGGTATCGCGGTTACGCGATGTAAATTAGACTTTAATTTATTGTTCTAGGTGTTGGAATTTTTAAGTGTCATAAGCTGTGATAACGAAATCATTATAATGTCAAACAAGTGTTTCAGAATATTCAATCATAAATTTAAAATGTGCCTTCAAGGAGTGTTCTACTTTATAGATTAACAGAGGTGCTCCTTAACATTCGCTATAAAAAATCGCAGTCAATGTAAAAGGCAGCAGATCCAATAAAAAAAACCTTCATTATTTCCGCAAAAAATGAAAGATGTTTACAAATCTCTATAATGCGAAACTAGAGCGCAGCTCTTGAGAAGGAAAGGAGAGGGTACGGAGGGCTGTATACCTCTAATCCCCTTTCGTACCCTGCCCTACTCCTTTCATTCTCCCTTTCTCCTTCTGTCCTCCACTTTTCCGCTGCTCCGACTCCTCTCCTTTCTTCCTCTTCTCCTCCCCTCCTCCTACTTCTCCCGTCCTCGTCTCCTCCTCCTCCCCTCATCATTTTTCTCCTCCTCCTCCGCATTGCCTCCTCCACCTGCTTCGAACCTTCCTCTCCTCCTCCTACGTACCCTCCCCTCCTCCTCCTCCATACCCCTTCCTCTCACACCTTTCTCTCTAAATTAAGCTAAAAAAATTGAGGACACGTGACCTCAACATCAGTTCAGTTTTCTCGCTAGCTTTAACAGGAAACTGACGTCACATGACTTTGTGTAACGTCATATATAAACAAATTCACTTTCTTCGCTAGATTTAGCTGTAAAACTGACTTCAAATGACCTCAATAACAATTCAATTCCCCGCTAAATTTAGCGGGGAAACTAAATGCGCGATGTTGCATCAGTTGACGTCACAGGCGTTCAGACTCATTCAGTTACTTCGCTTAATTTAGCAGAAAATTGAGTTGGTGTATACGTCTGTGACTTCCCATAATTCACCACGCGGTTTCGCCTATGCCGACGGCGACGGCGACGCCGACACTGTTAAACAGAGAAACAGGCGCCTAAGAGCTGCGCTCTAAAAATGTATTTACTCGTACGCTAAAACTAAAATAATTTTGTCTTACACTATTTGCAGTAAAACGTCGTGTTGGTATATCCTGTGTCATTATTGCAGCACGTAACGAACAATATAATCGGAACAATTTAAACTACGCATACATTTATCTGGAGCCTGTACAAAACTAGTCAGAACATTCCATGAACGTATGATTTCTTGCCCATGTAACGCGTCGCGACTGCAGGAGCTCTTTCACCCAAAGCGTTCCGAAGGATATAGTGGGACACCTCCCAGTCTGCGTTGAGAATCTTTGGCGGGGCACTTCTAACTAAGAATGCTCAGGCTTTTTGCATGCACTGTTTTACCTCCAGATTCTTTTAAAGAAATATGAAAGTTAATCAGGTATCTCCTTTCAAGACATTTTGAAATAAACGCATTAGGGTAACATATTTAAAAATAAAATCATGATTTTTTTTATTTTCCACAGTTTTTTTTATTCAGTGTTTTTTATAACATATTACGCCTCTGCAACAAGAAAAAATGCATGATTCGATATGTAAATATGAATTAGCATATTTAAAAATTAAATCATGCAATATGTTTTAATTTTTTTTAATTGTAAATTCTAATATAAGTGTTTTTTATAAGTTATGCCTCCGTAAAAGCCGCTACAAAAGCATCGTTAAATACTTGATGTGTGTGGCTCCCAGAGTAACTAAACTATATTTCACAAAAGGTCAGAACGCAGTCAAAGACTTAAAAAACATAAAAGCTCGAACAAGCATATTAAAAACTCATGATCATGACCTAATCACTGAAGTTTGTTGGTTCAGCCAATGATTGCACGAGAACGAAGAGATTACAATCACCGAGTCATTTCGCTCATCGCGTTACTTGATTAGCTCTATGGGCCCGAAGCGTTGTTCTCGAACCTATTGTGAAACAAAGCAGGGTAATACACTCTCGACCGTTTTGAAACTACTTTCAACATATAAACAAGCTTACTTATCGAACATTAGACAGTGCCTAGTCTTGTTGAACACGCTGATTCAGCAAGGTGTTCAGAAAACAAAACTTGAAATTGCAGTAGGTGTTACTATACCTCGATACGCCATTTGCCCAAAGCCCGAGACAAGCAACTTACCTTCCATCACAAAAGCTGGCTTTACCTTCAGGGTAAGATGCAATCTACTTCGATACATATGTGATACTTTAAACAGAACACCTACGCCGTGTTTTAAAAATAAAACAGTCGGCATTATATGCAGCCCACTTTAGAGAAACGTCGCGCACAGAGGGGAAATTTGAGAAGCCAGGGCAGCAGTGTATTACCATAAACATATCAAATAATATTAGAAAACAAATATGTGCCTAATATGTTGCTTTCCGATTTATATTGCTCTTCGGGTAAATGTGATTCGTTTAAATTGCAACAGCTCCTGATCACTTGTGAGTTGGAATAAAATAGAATAGATTACTCTGGTAGTCATATACGAGAGCAATGTAATACGTGACGTAACTACTCGGATTAGGGCTCTCCCTTGTACGATACTTTGCCCTGTGGCGATGTAAGTTTCGGGTAATAAACCCTACACCTACGTCACCACGAGTCTAAAAATTTATCAATGTGCGCCATAAATGGGATCGATATGCCGTGATGTTGGTTGTGTGTGTGTACAGGAACATTCAATTTCGTTTTCTTTTATTAATGAAGAATGTATTAGCTTGTAATACGAAATTATCGTCGCCTTCAAGGTCTGGTGCACCATTCAGTTGTTACAAAGGCATCACCCAGACACTTTGCCATTTGTTACTTATGATATAAAAGATATATTTCTTTAATACATTGACCTTCAAAGAAGCTGTCGCATATTAAGATCTCAAATTGACCTAAAACTTATTCTGGGCAACTTAATACTTATAAATTATTACATAAATTAGCTTTTCCCTTAAGCTAGCGTATTTCAAATAAACTGCCGAATATTGAAATCTAATCAGCGCGCTGCTACATTAATAAATAAATTGCCAGAAATTGAAACGGACACATTCTTCCAAAAGGTTCGGGAGATTGTTGTATCTATTATTGCCTTCGCACTTTCGTCTCCGGTATAAACGCTTAGGTACGCAGCGTTCCTTTCTGGTCCTCATCGATTTTGCATTGCAACAGTTGATATATTTTACTCAATGTTCAGAAATGAAAAAAAATATTCTGTTCGGAATTCAATAAAAACGACAAAATAATATTAGCCGGGCGACCTAATGCCGCGTATTTCATCCAGTGCTGTGAGAGCATTATTGAAATAGCTACCACTGTAAATTTTATTTTTCACCTAACGTCCTTGAAAGGGTAGTACTTTGCACTTACCACCGAAACTAAGAAGTGCCACACAAGCAATTTGCTAAATTGGGCACTCAGTACATGGTCCGCACAACTGAGCGGTTGTCGTTCACGTATTACTCTGCTCGAAACTCCTACCACAAACGCTCGACATCTGCGAACATTTTTTTTTAACTTTCTTTTTCAAGCTGCTTTTATCTGGCACCAAGATTTATTTATTAGATAAGTGATCTAAGGGGACTTTCTCTCGCAGAAAATTTTTGATCGCGTCCCTTAGATTTTAGAAAAAAAGATTGGAAAAACCGGCGACCTCCTCTTTGCGCTAAAGTCGTCGCGCATTGTGTGTCGATTCAGATTTCTACTTTAATTGTCACGGCCGCAGCAGTACTTTATCTCGGGTCGGGACTCTCTCCCAATGAGTGGAGTAAGATCCCGTGCGACTTAGCGGGTACCAATGGCGTTGTCGTCGAATGTCCTCGTACGAGTCTCGACGGTCAAATGATTTCAGTCAGATTTACCGACCGAAAGCGTATCCCACGAATTACGATTTGGTCAGGTGTGACCAAAGTAGTGTTCCTTCTATTTCAGGCCTCCCCGTGCTGTTCATCATTTCCTGGGTCGTGGCGCGAGCGACGCTGGATGACACCCTGTAAGAGAGACGACGAAAGCCACTTCAGCTCGCCACACCTCTCTAAGACTACCCTAAGCCCCGGGGGGCTTACGTTCCTTCCACATCCTCAGACTTTTGCGTTCGGGCGGAACCCGATATTTTGTTCGCGTTGCGGCGCTTCCCCGCGTCATTTTCTTTATTTTTTTTTTTATCGCTCGCGTACGCTTTGACACGAAGTCTTAAATCCTTACAATCAAGTCGAGGTCGAAAGGGTTAATGTAAGGCACGAGAAAATGAAAAAGAAAATGTGCAGGATAATGTTTTAATGATATTCCAAGGCGGTAGGTGCGCCGACATGAAAGACGTGAGTGCCCATTTTTTTTCTGTCTCTTCTAGACCTAAGTGGGCTTCACTTGATAGGCCCATCGCAAATCTCTCTTGCTTTCTTTTTGTCCATTCAAACAGCTTGGGAAACGAGACCTTTTTCTTAAAGTGCATCAATATTCGATCTACTCGAAGGCGAAGTGTTCTGGCCTCTCCGGCCGTATTTTGAGTGCCCTGTTTATCCTCCCGACGTGGTAGCAAACGGGGGCTATTCGGTGGACGTTCAACCTCTGCGTTTGTTGCTGTCGCAAATTTGCGAGTTTGATTTTATTAGCCTCTGCAGACGCGGCTTCGGGAAATTTGAAATGGGCATCACGCCGACGTATGCCTTTGACTCTAGCCATCAATGCCATTCTCGCTTCTTATCATTCCTTTTGTTATGAACGAGGCGAAGGAAAGTATAGCCTATAGCCTAAGGGAGTATTCTTTGAAAGCATGCGCCCACGTATTTTTCTGCCAGTTACTCAACGTTCGTAAGATGAAAACGCGTTGTAAAAGCAAGTGCCACTTTTTGAGTCGCCTCGCTGTATTGGCCAAGGGGGCACGAAGAAATCGAAGGATTTAAGATTAAGCCGAAATTCAAAGAAGTCTAAATTATTGCGGTCGTTTCACTAAAACTCCTCCTAAAAAGTAAGTGCAGCATCTAAGTTTTTCAAAGAGAAAAGAACAAAGCGGTCTATAATTATATTTGACAAACATAATGTCTGCTTCTCGAGAAACAAGAAGGGGATAACTCGAAGCTGAACAATGCAGTGTATTTTGTTACTTACAAATACTAAAATATGTCTTTTTTTAAATATTAGACTACAGAGGCAAAGTTTTCAACCCGTTGTTTTGTGTACAATTTATGTGATCAATAATGAAATAGAGTGACGTCAAGAAGAGCAGAAGGACACCGCATGGTTGTAGAAGCAAATAAGGACATTTAGCGCCTATCCATGTTGCCGTACAAAGTTACAAATATATATTGTCACGAAGGAAAGTTGATGAGGCGATGATAACTGAATAAACTAAGCGTTTAATGGGGCGAACTTGTGCGCAAAACAAAAATGAAAGAGAGGGAAACAGCAGAGCGTCTCGGCCGTCGATGTCGGCGAAACCGCAGGATCGAACGCTGGGGCGAGACTGACTCGACAAGGTCGCGGGCCGCCTCTTACCTGGAGTGAGTCACTATCTCGAAGATTCGGCGAAGAAGGCTCGAGGATCGCGCGCTTGGGGCGAGAATGAACACGCACTTTTTAGAACAGAAGCAGAACAACAAAAGCAGGAGCAAGAATAAACGAGAACCTTCTAGAAGTCCATGACCTGCGCGCGGCAATATGTCAGTTATTTGGAGTATTCAGATTCTCTGCTTTCACACTGGGTCATCGTTAGTTAGCCGTAAAGCATCAAGGAAAATTGGTTCTACCATATTAAGCCAGAGCTTGTGATAAATCTGTAGTAGCGGCCGAAAATAAATAAAGCGGCCCTCAATATATTGATAATCTCAGAGACGACATATAAGGTAACCTCTATTTCGCTGACGTATGTACCAACCATTTCGTGAGAAAAAATTTTCAACATAAATATTTGTATTTCCATTGCGAAAACCTCGTTCTAAGAATAGAGGGTTTCCGATGTGGAGCTAATACATGCAAGTATATACTCACAGATATACACGCTTTCTTGCAAAGAACACTTGGGTGTTCTTTCGTTCTTTTCAAAAATGCGGCCAGCTCCTCGCACTGTTTTTAATTCACACAGTTACATTTGTCTTCAATTTGTTTTATTAAACTTTTACAAACTGTAGCTTTCACTGCATTGGTCGCTGGTATTACTGAGAAATAAGACGAGGATATAACCATCCCTAATGCGTACGAGCCTTGAAACAAAAAGTGAACTTTGCTACAAAATCTACACAACGTACCGGATCTCAAGACAGTGGCCCAGAAGCCGTTAATCAGAATTTTGAGCAGTTGTCTAAATTTCTTAGAAATATAACGTGGAGGGAGTTTTAAGGAATCGGGTCACAGCATCATGTACTTTTTAGACTGAAAGCATTTAAGGAAGAACGCTTCTGCATAAATTAGCGGGATAATTCCTCAATTTCACTCATTTGTTTTACTATTTATAAGTTATTCGGGCATATCTGAAGAGAAAGTGGATGGCGGTGTTAAAATTGGGATTAAAGATTAGCGTAGTTCAAAAAAGGTAATTTTAATTCGCTCTTCCTAATACAAAATTTAGACTCTTTATCACGTGACATTAAAACTGAAAAGCACGCAGAAACATATACTTCAACGTCGTGTACAATGTTTGGAGTATCTTAGCTCCTTGAACGTAACCGAAGGACATGCCAGCATCGACTTGTGCGAAGGCCCGGCATGTTCCGACATCCACATTTGGGCCAGTTTAGCAGCGCCGAAGCTACATTTATGTAAAAGAGAGCACTGCCAAAGCCAGCGCACAAGCTGAGTTGTTGGTCGACGTTGTAGCGCACTCAAAAAACTGCTACTCAACCTTTCACCACACACAAAATAAATAAAACTCTCACACAGCGCTCACTAACAACTTTGTATTGTTAGTGAGCACTGTGTGAAAGTTTTATTTCTCTTGGGTGTGTAAAAGCTTGAGTGAAACTGTTTAGATTGCGCTGCAACGTCGACCAACATGAACAACCAACTCGCTCAATCCGAGGTTCTAAAAGCTGAGTGGCACTTAAATCATATTTCAACTCACCCGCGCGATCCAGAGTTGATAGTTCTTTCTCTCAGACGGTCTGTAATAATACACCGTGTGGATACTCATTGAAAGAGTGAAAACCGCACGAAGGTCTTTCAGCTACAGCGAATCCAGCGAGAGCCACCATTCTTCGAGGACGCTTCAATCGCGCACGCAGATTCAAACTACAACTGAAGGCAGCGAGGTCGTGCTGGATGCCGTGCACCCGTAGAAAAACAAATAAGGGCAAGAACACGACCCATTAAATGTGCGTATTTAGTTTAACCGGTGAAAGTAAACGCTCAAAGACGATATCAGATTCACTTTTAGTGCTGCTTGGTTGACTACATTCTATCGCAGTGTCGTAGCGCTCGGACTTAGTTTGGATTGGAGCGCAGCATTTATTATCAGACCCAGACAGCCATTGTAAAATTGAAAAAAAAAAAACGGAGATTTTCATTCTTTGTTTTTTAGGCTTTTAATTGGAGCACCTAAATGCTTGGATATAGTTTTTAATATTATTCGGGACAAAAGAAATTGGGATACTTTTGCCAACAGTTGCTGGACAACCAACGTCAGGCAAGACTTGTTCTGGATCATCCGAGGACCAATCACAGCGTCCATCGTGGTGAGTGATTCACACTTTTTCTTAAAGCAATTTCGCATGTCGGCAGAACCCTCTTAGACTGCGAGCGAAACTAAGCCAGAAAAATAGGAAAAAATTTGGAGGACGCTAAAGCTTCGCCTTTAGAAAATTGTGTAAGTGATAAAAATCGGGTTCAGTGCGGCGTACCTCAAGGGAGTACTTTGGGCCCGTTGTTATTTAATATTTCCATAAATGAGTTAAACGTTTTACCGCTACAGTCTAGAATCTTTTTATATGCAGATGATACGGTTCTACAATTACCACATGACATATACGACAAAGCAATTCCGATATTTCAAAAGGACGGGGACATTTTATTGCAGTGGTTTTCTGACAATATTATTTCAGTAAATAACAACAAAACGAAACTTATGTGTTTCCGTAATCTCCATAAACATATGAGGCTTACGGCAGGCATTTATTTAAATGCAGGGCAAGGCCACTCTTTTAAAAGTATAGCACTACCGTACAAACAGTCTGTAAAGTACTTAGGCGTATTGTTTTAGGAATATATTTTATGGAACCATCACATAGAATTTATAAAAAAAAGGCTTGCATAGTATCAGCGTATCTTTACCGGTTAAAGTGCGTATGTGGTGTAAAAGTTCGTAAAACAGTTTTTATGGCTTTAGGAGAGTCGATCTTGCGATATGTTATTACTGTTTTCGGACAATGTGCAGGAAATAAAAAAACTAGAAATAGATAGACCACTTAAACAGGTTGCGAGTAACGTTGCGTACGGAACCAGATATGATGACCTAGTAATAGATATGAAAATGAATGAACTAAATATAACGTCTTTTTCTAAACTGTATGAATATGTAATATTAACACGGCATTACTACGATAAGAGCTCGAAAATTGAAGTCAAAAAGAGAAATCTGAAGTGCACTGAAAGGTACGTAATACCCAGAATATTTACGAACTACAGAAAGAGAATAAAACTTCATTATATTCCTTCCATTTTAATAAATTATCCGATAATTTGATTAGTATATCATCCACGCCATCGGCTTAGAAAGCTCTTAAAAAGTGGTGTCTAGAGTGTAAAACCTGATTTCCCTGTTGTTTAGTGTGTTTTTTCCCGAGTCATTTCTGTGTTATGCGATGTTGATGTTCAATTTTTGTCTATTTTGGTATGTTTCACGTGAGCCATGCGGTGTTTAGAATTTGTTAGTATTTCAGTGTTCGGCGATTTGTTTGATTTTCATATGGAGAGTAGTTTCATTTAAATGGCGCAAATATTGCTGCGTTTTACAATTCTGTTCAATTTCTTTATTTATAGTGCTACTTGCACTGTAAATAAAACTATAAATGTTCTATTCCTTTTATTTCGTAAAGATTTTGGTCTGCCTGGTCCCACGGACAAGCAATCTTCTTTGCTTTTGTGGGCCAGTTTTTGTAAGTGTTTTTTCAAGGAAAAAAGATATTATTATTATTATTATTATTATTAAGAGTGGAACGCGGTAGCGCCGTCGGGTTCTTTTCGCATCGCCTTCTAATTCGCCTCTGATGCTCTGCCTGTCAGTGAGTAGGAAGAGTGGAGGACCTGGCCTAGTCTGTAGCGTGTTTGGCTCGCAAATGAATAATCTCGAGTCGAAATCCCGCCTAAAATTGTTCACATTTTTTCTAGGGGAAATGGATTACTTTTTAAAGGAAGATCATTTGGGATACGCGGCGACCTTTATTTCGTGTTACATGGCATGTTTTTAATCACTTTCATTCCAGGCGTGACGTCGCCTTTCACGTTAGCGTTGTGGGTTGTTTGAAATTCACGAGCGAGGTCATGTGGCTCTGACGTCATCACCCTATCAATCAATCAGGATTTTGGCGTCACGGCACCGACGCCGGCATTTCTGCCACGCCACCGATGTTTTGCGAAATGAGCTTTTTAACGCTGTCGCGTTAAAACCAGAATCACTCTAATGCGATAGGCCTTTTTCTCTTGGCCAGGGAACACGAGGGCGAACCCAACACGCGAAAGTGTACTTACTGCTTGTACCGAGCAAGCCAGCACTGGAGCCTTTGACCATGCACGAGCCACACTTGTTGACAAGCCTCTGTGTTAGCATCTGCCTAAGCGCGTTAACAGCTTCTCTAAAAGAATAAAACGAAACGTTTAAATAAACATAAAAAAAGAGAAAAATCTGCTCTCAATTCCGGTGTTTTATTAAAGCGATGTAAATGATATGCTCTAAGCTTTCTTGTTCTTGTTATTTTATCTCAGAAATTGGGAGGGGGGGGATACATTCAGGAATGCAATTCTACCAGCTTAGCGTCAGCTATAGCAACGCGAAAAAGCGTAAGTACTCACCCATTACAACCCAAACACGACCGAGAAATATTTATATTCGCTCGCTAGAGGCGCTGCCCGTACTTAAGACCTACAACCTCATGGTGCCGGTAAAGCGTGGCCCCCGACCCACGTGTTTGCCTCGTCCTAAAAAGAAGTTCCTTAACTTAATAGAGACTTCATCTTTGAAACTTTAGGAGAACTTGTAAGCAAATTAAAAAAAAAAAATACTGTAAAGTATAATATTTGTTCTAAATTTTTTTGTAATTCTTATAGCTTTTAAGGATTTGCATACATGGGAGGTTTATCGGCAACGCTAGAAAGTTGGGCAAATAAAAACTCGCAATAGTGACCGAATACAATTGCATTTGCATCTGCTTAGCCCGGGATATGCGTGGCCTGATTTCGTCACGTCAAAAAAGTCGCATGATCTTACTTAGGACACCAAAAGTGAGCGGAGAAATTAAAACATTTTATAATAAAATTGCACCAAAAGTTAAATGTTCGATTTTATGGAAGGCGGCAGTATGGGATTTTTTTTTTTTTGTCGAGCCAACCGTCAGCGCTTATTACACGCCTGTAGATGAGACATATAAATGCACGAAAATAAGATTCGCAAACTGCAGTGAATGTCGCGTATTTTTTGAGCAAGTTTATTCGATTTCTTTTTCAAGATTTTGAACCGCAATTTTGTGAATGACTATGGCTTGTTAGAAACGTTAATGACCGATTCTCAAATTATGTAAAGTTTGCCAATCGATGGCCAGAGCTACACTTTAATATCACCGAGGGATTAAATTAACATTTTATTCCTTGAATATCAATAAGCCACCCCAAACAAATGCGCAGCATCTGACAGCAAACCAAACTATGCCCTTTAATTCCCATCCAAGTAAACCCATTTTATTAGAGTATATACCTTAGATAACGCAAAACTTCCTGCGTTAAGTACATTATATTTTACAACAAAATCATTTAACTGTGTAGTGGGCGTATTCTAAGACGGACTCGTAATTTCGCAGAAATACTTGCCCTTATCACTTTCAACTTGGCCTTACGATTTAGTTTCCAGGTTGTGAGATTGGGACTTTTTAATATTTTATAAAACCGAAAAATAGCTTAGACGCAGCAAGCGCCAACTTTACAATGTTTCTTAATTTAAGATGGTGGAAATTGTGAATTGATTTTTTTCACAAACATTATAACGTTTTCTCACTCTCCTGTTTCATGAAACACGGAGCTCCAGGCTTACCAAATAGCAAACATCCTTCTTTCTGTCAGTATAACTTCAATCTCAGCTTAAAATCTTGACCGCTATAAGTCCTACTTCCAGAAAGTAAAGCTCGCTTTACGAAGTCCGTTCACGCACTACGTGAGATCACTACTTTCATCACAGATAGGAGCTGGAACGAAGAAAACAGAAAGAACGCCATCAGATGTTTTTCAACTTGAATCCTTGCGTCTAGACGCCCGGATTAAATCTATAGTTCTAACGTGTGCAGCTTGAATAGCGCTGTTTGCCAAAGCTGCTAGAAGGCAACTATGATGCGAGAAAGAAACTTATCTGTGTATCATACTAATTTTGTCATATATTTCTTCAATCAGAACACTAGAGACAGGGTTTAATGAAATCGAGCTTTACGCGCCCAGTCCACGTTGCAGTCCAACAGTCAGTGGAAGAACATAAAAACGAGAAGCACAAGAAATAACTATGAAAAACTATGTTTCTGGATAGTTTATTTTTTCTAGGGCTTTTTGCGTCCCACACAAAGCGTATTTGTCATCTCGGTTGGCAGCGTCTATTGAGGCAGCGGCCCACATTGCTCCACAGTCCGAGAAATATAAAAAAAGCACCCTGTTACAACACAGGGCTTCCTTTTTTTACGGCCCAGACGAAATCATATGCAGGATATTTACATAAGCGTAAGCGGTTGAGCATTACTAGTGACCCGTTGCGCCTATTTCGAGCACAAAAAGCAGCAAGCCTCATTGAAGCATGAATGTGCAGTACACAAACAATTCGCCATAGTAACGCCAGTCCTATACCGAGTCCCACGACTCAACGATACGAGCCAGAGCGAGCATCGCAGCGGTTTGACGTTGTTTATTTTCTCACGCTTCCAGCAACAACACAATCCAACCATTTATTCGCTGCGTCCTTTGTTTCATTCCGAGCTTTCTTTGAAGACATTAAAAAAGAGAACGTTAACGAGCCACTTCACAAAGGATTATGCTGCGTTGCAGTCATGGTCCTGGTGTCAACATGTGCACGAGACTAGACGCTATAAACTATTCCATTGCAGTGGTGCCGCTGCTGAAGCATAAATGCCACTTCAGCCTCCACTGCATTTGATCAAGAAGCACGCCTTTATTTTTAGGTGAATTATATTGAGTATCTACCTTAAATTTTGCCATATACACTGAGGAGAACTAAGCAAATTAACTCTGAACCAAAAAAAGAAACAGGAAAACGAGATCGAGAGTAATCACATGTCCACCTGCGCAGCGTATGTCCACCTGCAATCATTTCATTCCGGTCACTTTCCCAATACACCAGGACCATTACCAGGCATTTTGCAACGAAATGCGTACTACATAAAAACCCATCGAAACACTCCATCGTGATGTTTCGAAAGGCTCAAATAAAAAAGCGAAAGAAACATAGATTAGAAGTAAGGAAGTTAGGATA